TCCACAAGGTCAAGTTGTCACTCAGTAATCACATTATTAGTGTGCTGTTGGTATGCTTCTTCACTTAATGTATCAGATGTTCAGCAATGGCTTCATCAAAAGCTGTCTTTGCAAGGGAGCAGGCTTTCTCTGGAGAGTTCAGGATCTCATAATAGAACCCAGAAAAGTTCAAGGCCAGACCCAATCTTATAGGGTGCATAGGTTGCGTCTCCTTTTTGCTGATTTCAAATGCTTCTTGATATGCTTGTTGTGATTGATCCACTATTCCCTTCTTGTCATCACCAGCGGCAACCTCAGCCAAATAATAGTAGTAGTCTCCTTTCATTTTCAAATAGAAAACTTTGCTTTCTGCTTGTGAAGCATTAGGAATCAAGCACTCTTTCAATAGAGACAGTGCATCATTTTAGATATCTCTTAGCTTGGTCACAATTTTTCTCTCTGTATTCTCAGGCCATCTGCTGTTTTTTCTCAGCACCTTCAGTCAAAGCACCTTCAAGCTCAATACTTGAAACAACCCTTCAAGATGACCTTTGGACCCCTATGACATTTTTGTAAGCAACAGAGAGAAGATTGGATAATTCAGCTCCTTGCTCAGTTAAAGACTTCATGCAGGCTGCAACATCTCTCAACCTGCTCAGTCAGTTTGGCGTTCAGCACCAGCTCATTTTTATCCATGATTGAATGTTCTGTGCCTGAAGTGAGTGGCGGCAGCGACTGGACAGACAGGGGGTTCAGAGGTCTCTAGGAGGCGGTAGTGGCCGAATTATGGTTCTTATTTTCCTTCCTGGTCAACTTTGCCATGGGTATTAGCAGGAGTTTCTTTAATTGCATTTTTCTATGAATAATTTGGAACATTTTTTTGTATGAATTGGTAAGCTTGGATTTCTTCCTCTGAAAACTGCCTTTTTATATCCTTTGTCCATTTATCAATAGGGGAATGCAGCTTGCTCTTGTAAGTTGGAATCAGTACCTATATTTCTTAGAAATGAAACCTTTATTAGAGAAACTTATTGCAAAGATTTTTTTAAACAGTGTTTAACCTGCTTCTCCAATCTTTGAAGCATGTAATTGGACCTCAGTAAGATACAACATTGGGTTTATTTATTTAAAAAATTATTAATTTTGTATAATCAATTGTCCATTTTACCTTCTGTGTTCCTTAACATTTTTGTTCATGAGTTGTTCTCTTAACCATAAGTAATTTGTTTATTATTTCAAACTTTATGTCAAAGTCTTACACTCATTTGCAGCTTTTCTTGGTATAGGGCATGAGATGTTGATCAATTACTACTTTTTTCCAGACTTCATTCCACTGTTCCTAGAAGTTTTGGCTGTATAGTCCATTCTTGGGATTTTGGGGTTTTATCAAACACTAGGGTATTATGCCTAATTGTTTATATTGTGTACCTAATCTGTTCCATTGATTTGACTGTATTTTCATTAATCCATATCAAATTATTTAGATGAGTTCTCTTTTGTAGTATCGTTTAAGATCTGGTATTGCTAGGCCTCTTTTCTTCTAATTTCCCCCAACCCCCCTCCCATTATTTCCCTCGATAGTCTTGATCTCTTTTCCCTTTAGATACATTATTTTTTTTTTCTGTCTCTATAAAGTAGTCCTATGGTAGTTTGATTGGTACGGCACTGAATAAGTAAGTTAATTTAGGTATTTTTGTAATTTTATTACATTGGTATTGCATACCCATAAGCAATTAATATTTCTCTAATTGCTTACATCTGTCTTTATTTGCATAAAGAGTGTTTTCTAATGGTGTTCATATGCTTCCTATGTGTGTCCTGGCAGCTAGGTTCCCTAATACTTTATACTATCTGGTTATTTTAAATGGAATTTCTCTTTCTGTCTTTTCTTACTGAACCTTGTTCGTAATATATAGAAATATTGATGATTTCTGTGAGTTTATTTCATATCCGGCAACTTTACTGAAGTTGTCAATTCTTTCAAATTTTATTTTTTGGTTTACGATAGATCAATTTAAGTAAAACATCATGTCATCTGCAAGAAAGTGATAATTTTGTTTCCCCTTTTCCTATGCTTATTCCTTCAATTTTTCTCATCTTTTGGCTGTAGCTAGATTTTTATGTGGAATAGCAGTGGTGATAATAAACAGACTTGTGGTTTACTCCAGATATTACTGAAAATTCTTGTTTATTCAAATTATAGATAATATTGGCTTTTGTTTTAGATAGATGTTTCTTATCATATTAGGAAAATATTTGTTTATTCCTTTGCTTCCTGTTTTTTTTTTAAACAGCAATGGGTGTTACAGCTTGTTTCTCGGGGCAGCTAGGTGGGACAATGGATAGAGCACCAGCCCTGAAGTCAGGAGGACCTGAGTTCAAATTTGGCCTCAAACATATAACACTCACTAGTGGTGTGGCTCTGGGCAAGTCACTTAACCCCAGTTGCCTCACTAAAAAAAAAAATTGGGGGAGCAGCTAGGTGCCGCAGTGGATAGAGCACCGGCCCTGAAGTCAGGAGTACCTGAGTTCAAATCCGGCCTCAGACCAAACATTTGACACGTACTAGCTGTGTGACCCTAGGCAAGTCATTTAACCCCAATAGCCTAAAAAAATTTTTTTCTAAATCTCTTGTTATAATTATATCATTTTTTGTTTTGTTATAACTAATATGGTCAATTATGTTTGTAGTTTTCCTGATGTTGAACCAGCTCTTCATTCTTGGTATAATTTTGACCTAATTGTAGTGTATACTTTTTGTGAAGTATTACTAATATTTCATTTAAGATTTTTATATCAATATTCACAATGGATATTGGTCAATAATTTTCCCTCTCTTTTCCTACTCTTTCTAATTTAGATATTAAATCTAAATTTGTGTCATAGAAGGAATTTGGTAGAGCCACTCTTTTTCCCATTTTACAAATAGTTTATGCAATATTGGAATGAATTGTTCTTTAAATATTTCAAAGAATTTGCTCATGTGAATGGAGTTTTTTCTTTGGGAGTTCATCCTATCATGTTCAATTTCTTTTTCTGAGATTGGGCTTTTTATATACTCTATTTCTTTTCTATTAATTTGAAAATTTTAGATTTTGTCAGCATACATCCATTTAATTCATATTGTAATTTTTGATCGGCATATAATTGAGTAAAATATTTGATAACTGCTCACGTATTCACTTTGTTTCTTTTCTTCTCTTTCTTTCTTTTTTTTTTTTGGCAGTTGGGGTTAAGTGACTTGCCCAGGGTCACATAGCTGGTAAATGTCAAGTGTTTGGTCTGAGACCGAATTTAAACTCAGATCCTCCTGACTTCAGGACTGGTGCTCTACCTGCTGTGCCACCTAGCTGCCCCCTCACTTTGTTTCATTTTGATGTTGGTAATTTGGCTTTCTTTTTTTTTTAAACCAAGTTAGATAATGGTTTATCTATTTTACTTTTTTTCTGCAAAAACAATATTTTCTTCATTTTTATGGAATGTGCCTTTTTCGTTTTTCATACTAGTAATTTAGTTTTCTTCTTTCTTTTTTTAAGGCATACTGAAGTAATAGAGTAGATAGAATGGGGGTGTGGAGTCAGGCAGATATAAGTTTAAATTTGACCTCAGATACTTATTGTCTGCATGACCTTGGGCAAGTCACTTAACCTCCATTTGCCTGAGTTTCCTCATCTTTAAAATAGGGATAATAATAATATGGTAATAGCACCCACACTGCAGGGTTGTCATAAGGATCAAATGAGATATTTCCAAAATGCTTGGTATAGTGTCTGACACATAGTAAGCACTATGTTAACTATTATTATTAGCTTTTAAAAAATCAAATTGAATAACTATTTATCTATTTTATTATTCAAAAATGATTCCTAGTTTTATTAATTTAGTATGGAAGGAGGGATTTCCCTTTCATTTGTGTTTGTCTCTATTTGATTTTCAAGATTCTGTTTTGGTGCTTAATTGGGTCTTTGAAATGTTTGTTTTCTCATTGTTTTAGCTTGCATTCCAGATGTATTGATCTATTTTTTCTCTCCTTTATGTGTTTCTCCTTTTCTGCTGCTGCATGTGAGGTTTTTAAGCTCTAATATTTGGTCAATTTTTTTGGGGGGGGCTAGGTAATGGGATTAAGTGACTTGCCCAGGGTCACACAGCTAGTAAGTGTTATGTGTCTGAGGCCAGATTTGAACTCAGGTCCTCCTGAATCCAGGGCTGGTGTTCTATCCACTGCACCACCTAGCTGCCCCAAATATTTGGTCAATTTTTATAAAGGATATGTAACGTGTATGTTATGTGTGTATTGATGCACTCATATCTACCAGTAGGTCCTCATTCAGTCCGCATGATTCAAAGTATGAAGTTATCCTAGCTAGAACCCATCACCAGTGTCCAGAGACACCTTTATCTATCTCTCTGTGTTGACCTGTGGTGGAATAAATGACTCACTTGATTTGTTTTCTTGGATTTCCTGATTTGAACCTGGACTGGTACTTTTTTCTAGATCTTTGTAAGTAGTTGTAAGAGCTAGGCTATGCTACTTTCTCTTACTCTGCATCTTGACTGGTCACCTGTTTTTCAGAACGATGTAACAGCATTAAATATTATTGATTTTAAGGGCATATTATATTATGTTATATTGTGTTATGTTATATTAATATATACATATTATACTTTGAACTTTTTGTGACCTGTCTGTCTGGTACAGATTATGAGCCCTTCTGAAATGAGGCTGGTACTGAAACGGTAGACACAGTCTATACCTGTACTGGATGCTTATTTATGTGTATAGCAGCTCTTGGTGCTTGTGCTGTATAATTACAGTCTTGAAGAACCCAGTGACACCTCTGATATAGGACAAAATATTATAGTAGACCCAAAGTAGAGAGAGGTTTATGTATACATAATGTACAGAAAATAAATCAATTTTATATTCATTTAAAATTACCTTCAATGTGACCGACATAATTATTTTATGCTTTATTGCTAATGACATTAGATGTCATAAAGCTCTATTTTTCTTTTGGAAGGTATATGCTGGGCCTTTCAGCTATCCCAGCAATAATACAGTTCCTTGGATTTCTCTTTCTACCGGAAAGCCCAAGATGGCTCATTCAGAAAGGACAGACTCAGAAAGCTCGAAGAATTTTATCACAAATCCGAGGCAACCAGACAATTGATGAGGAATATGATAGTATCAGAAACAATATTGAAGAGGAGGAAAAAGAAGTTGGTTCAGGTATGTTACTTTTACAGTTGTATTTTTTGCATCAAAAGAACATAGAGTGATTTCATTCTTACATTATGTTCTTTTAGTAATATGATATCTCTAAATTACGTGGTGTATAGCCTTCCACAAGATCTAAGGTAATAGGATTATAGAGCTAGAGCAAAAAAAAAGAGACCTTAATGATGATGTTCAGTCATTTTTCAGTAATATCTGGCTCTTTGTGACCTCATCAGGGCATTTTCTTGGCAAAGATACTAGAGTGGTTCACCATTTCCTTTTCAGTTCATTTTACAAATGAGGAAACTGAGGCAAACACGATTAAGTTATTTGCCCACTGTTGCACAGCTGGTACATGTCTAAGGCCATCTATGAACTTGGGAAGATGTCTTCCTGACTCCAGGCCTAGCATTTTATCCACTGTACCACCTCATTGCCCTAAAGGAAACTTTTGAGATCATCTCCTCTAAATTTCTCAATTTATAAATAAGGAAATTGAGACCTAGATAATACTAGTTATTTGCCTAGTTCACACGTTTTAGTCCTCAGACTACAAATCCAGCCTCTTTTCCACTAAATATATAGCCAAGCCAAAATAAATTATTCATTTGAATAGTAATACCTCATTTGTTCATTACTTTAATGTCTGTGAAGAGTTTTATGTATATATGCTATATACTACAAAGAATTTCATACTATTTCATATTAATCATTGTAGTTAAAAGTTAAATGGTTATTTTATATTTAAATTAACTTCCATGGTTACATTTCTGTGCCATAGGAATTACTTTGTGTAGTAGATATTATTTTAATTTCAATTTTATTTTTACATTATAGCATAATTGTATTCCATCACAATCATATACCATAACTTGTTCAGTGATTCCCCAATTGATTGGCATCCCCTTAATGTCCAATTTGTTGCCACCACAAAAAGAGCTGCTATAAATATTTTTGTACATATAGGTCCTTTTCTTTTTTCTTTAATTTCTTTGGAATACAAATCTAGTAGTGGTATTGCAGGGTCAAAGGGTTTGCATAGTTATATAGCTCCTTGGACAGAGTTCCAAATTGATCTCTAGAATGATTAGATAAGTTCACAACTATCCTAACATTAGTGTCCCAATTTTCTCACATTCCTTCCAACATTTATCCTTTTCCTCTTCTGTCATTTTAGCCAATCTGATAGTTGTGAGGTGGTACCTCAGAGATATTTTAATTTACATTTTTCTAATCAATAGTGATTTAGAGCATTTTTCACATGACAATGGATAGCTTTGATTTCTTCATCTGAAAACCGCCTGTTCATATCCTTTGGCCATTTCTCAATTGGCGAATGACTTGTCCTTATAAATTTGACTCAGTTCTCTGTATATTTGAGAAATGAGATGTTTATTAGAGACACTTGCTGTAAAATGTTTTTCTAATTTTTCTGCTTCCCTTCTAACATTGGCTGCATTGGTTTTATTTGTACAAAACCTTTTTATTTTAATGTAAATAAAATTATCCATTTTTATTTCCTGTAGTCTTTTCTATCTCTTGTTTAGTGTTAAATTCTTCCCTTCTCCATAGATCTGACAGATAAACTACTCCATTCTCCCTTAATTTGCTTATGGTATCACCCTTTATGCTTAAATTATGTACCCATTTTGATCTTATCTTGGTATAGGCTGTAAGATATTGGTCTAAACCTAGTTTCTGCCAACCTGCTCTCCAGTTTTCCCAAATATTGAGCTGTTGTCCCAACAGCTTGGATCTTTGCATTTATCAAACACTAGATTACTATGGTCATTTACTATTGTGTATTGTGAACCTTATTTACTTCACTAATCCACCACTATATTTCTTAGCCAGTGCCAGAATATTTTCATGGTTACCACTTTGTAATACAGTTTGAGATCTGGTACTCCTTGGCAACCTTCCTTCACAATTAGAAAATAATTAATTTCCTTAATATTCTTGATCTTCTATTCTTCCAGATGAATTATATTATGATCTTTTTCTATCTTTATAAAATTATTTTGGTCGTTTGGTTTGTATGATTCTGAATAAACTTAGGTAGAATTATAACAACAAACAACAATAATAATAATAATGATAATTATTATTATTATTATACTGGCTGTACCCATGAGAAATTAATATTTCTCCAATTGTTTAGATCTGTCTTTATATGTCCCCAAAGTTTTATTGTTGTGTTCATATACTCCTGACAGGTAGTCTCCCAAGAATTTTATATTGTTTCTAGTTATTTTATTTTACCTATTTATTTATTTATTTTTAGGCAATTGGTATTAAGTGACTCACCTAGAGTCACGCAGCTAGTAAATGTCAAGTGTGTAGTCTGAGGTTGGCTTTGAGCTCAGGTCCTCCTGACTTCAGGGCTGGTGCTCTATCTACTGCACCACCTAGCTGCCCCCATTTTTTTTTATTTGTTTGTTTGTTTGTTTTTGTTTTTTGGGCTAGGCAATGGGGTGAAGTGGCTTGTCCAGGGTCACACAGCTAGTAAGTGTCAAGTTTCTGAGGCCAAATTTGAACTCCGGTCCTGCTGAATCCAGGGCCAGCGCTCTATCCACTGTGCCACCTAGCTGCCCCTTGTTTCTAGCTATTTTAAAGGGCAGCTGGGTGGTGCAGTAGATAGAGTACTAAGCCTAAAGTGAAGAAGACTCATCTTCCTTAGTTTAAATCTGACCTCAGACACTTACTAGCTCTGTACCATGGGCAAATCACTTAACCCAATTTCCCTTGGTTTCTTCATCTCTAAAATGATCTGGAAAAGTAAATGACAAACCACTCCAGTATGTTTGCCAAGAAAACCCCAAAGGAAGTAAAAGAGATTGAAAAATGACTGAACAAGAACAACAACAAGTATTTATTTTAAATGGAGTTTCTCTTTCTATCTCTTGGTGCTGGAATTTGTTAGTAATGTATAGAAATGTTGATGATTTATGTGTATGTATTTTATATACTACAACATTGTTAAAGTTACTAATTATTTCAGGTAGTTCTTTAGTTGATTCTCTAGGATTCTCTAAGTATGTTATCATACTATTTGCAAAGAGCAACAGTTGTGTTTTCTCATTGCTTATTCTAATTTTTTTCAAATTTTTTTATCTTTTTCTTGTATTATGGCGTATATAGCTATATATGGATATATGCCTATACATCCATTTCTACTGCAATATTAAATAATGGTGGTGATAATGGGCATCCCTGCCTCTCTCCTCATCTTATTGGGAAGTCTTCTCACTTATCTCCATTACAGATAATGCTTGCTAATAACTTTAGGTAGATACTACTTATCATTTTAAGGAAAACTACATTTATTCCTATGCTTTCTATTGTTTTAAATAGGAATCAGGGTGGTATTTTTGTCAAAAAGATTCTACATCTACTGCGATTATCATATGATTTTGTTGGTTTTGTCATGGATATGGAAAATTATGCTGATCATTTTCCCAATATTTAACCAACCCTTCATTCCTCATATAAATACCACCTGGTCTTAGTGTATGATTTGTGTTATATATTGTTGTAATCTCCTTCCTAATATTTGGTTTACAATTGTTGCATCAATATACATCAGAAAATTTGGCTATAGTTTTCTTTGTTTTTGCTCTTCCTGGTTTAGGTTACAGCATCATATTTTCATCATAAAAGGAATTTGATAGGACTCTTTCTTTGCTTATTTTTCCAAGTAGTTTATAAAGTATTGGAATAAATTGTTTTCTAAAATTTTGGTAGAATTCACTTGCAAATCCATCTGATCCTAGGGATTTGTTCTTATGATTTGTTCAATTTCTTTTTTGAAGACAGAGTTTTCTATTTCTTCTCTATTAATCTGTGTAATTTATATTTTTGTAAATATTTGTCCATTTCACTTAAATTGTTAGATTAATTGGCATATAATTGAGCAAAATAGTTGGTAATAATTGCTTTAATTTCCTCTTCATTGGTAGTTATTTCAACATTTTAATTTTTGATACTGAATATTTGGTTTTCATCTTTCTTTTCTAATCAAATTAATTGGTCTTTCATTTTTTCCCCATGAAAACAGCTCTAGTTTCATTTTTAGTTGAATTGTTTTCCTTTAATTATATTAATCTCTCCTTTGATTTTTAGGATTTCCAATTAATTTGTAATTGCGGATTTAAAATTTGTTCTTTCTTTTTTTTATTAATTTATTTTTAGTTTTCAACAATCACTTCCATAAGCTTTTGAGTTTTAAACTTTGCTCCCCTCCTTCCCCACCTCTCTCCCCAAGACAGCATGCAATCTGATAGAGGCTCTACATATATATTAGTCAGGTTGTAAGAAAGAATTAGAACCAATAGGAGGAACCACAAGAAAGAGGAAACAAAACAAAACAGACCCCAAAAAAAGTGAATGCTATGCTTCAATCTATATTCAAATTCCATAGTTCTTTCTCTGGATGTGGATAACATTTTCCATCATGAGACTTTTGGAGATATCTTAGATCTTTGCATTACTGAGAAAGGCTACGTCTATCAAAGTTAGTCATCACAGTGTGGCTATTATTGTGTTCAGTGTTCCACTGGTTCTGCTCACTTCACTCAGTATCAGTCCATACAAGCCTTTCCAGTTTTTTCTGAAGTCTGCCTGCTCATCATACATTCATATACCACAACTTGTTCTGCCATTCCCCAGTTGGGCATCCCCTCAAATTCCAATTATTTGTCAAGACAGAAAGAGATGCTATAAGTATTTTTGTACAAGTGGGTCATTTTCCCATTTGTATGATCTCTTTGGGACACAGCCTTGGAAATGCTATTGCTGGATCAAAGGATATGCGCATTTTTATAGGCCTTTGGGCATACTTCCAAATTGCTCTCCAAAATGGTTGGATCAGTTCACAACTCCAACAATAATTCATTAGAGTTCCAATTTTCCCATATCTTCTCCAACATTTATCATTTTCCAGTTTTGTCCTGTTGGCCAATCTGATAGGTGTGATGTGGTACCTAAGAGTTGTTTTGATTTGCATTTCTCTA